TCTCTTGATGTTTTAGGCTTACATTTGTGCTTGTGGCAACTTTTTACACTTTTCCCCCTCTAATCCCTCTTAAAGTCTTAAAGGATAACCTGAAAGTGACTTCACATGTTAAGAGATGAATTTGGAAAAGACTTACATGCTTTGATGCACATTATACACATATACATATCTATTAAGCATGTGCTCATATTTTAACTATACTGATAGAAGAAGCTACAAGATAATAAATTCCTTAATAAAGAGAAAAAATCACTGTCAGAATGTTTTTTATTCTCCATTATATTCTACTCTCTTCATTGGAACTTCCAAGAGAAAAAGGCAGCACAAAGAGGTCTATTATTTGAGTACTTTTATTTACTGAGGACTTAATTCAGTGCATTTTCACAACAATATGAGACAAATACTGTCAGAGAGACTTGCTCAATAGGTTGGTCAGTCATGGAATAAGTGGCAAAGCAAGACTAAGAATCTGAGTCTATCCAGCCTCACTCCACATTGTGGTATATAACACAGTAGCTACAAAACTGAAAGGCACATGGGACGTTGTAGGATGTATTAGTACTTCATTTTTATAGCCAGATAATACTCTATTTTCAGATATTCCATATTTTGTTAATCCATTCATCCACTGGACATTTGTGTTGTTTCCACTTTTTGGCTATTATCAATACTGCTGCTAGGAACATTTGCACTAAAGGTTTTGTGTAGATATTTTCATTTGTCTTGAGTATAAGCATACACCCAGGAGTAAAACTGCTTTGTCATATGAGTGTTTTATCATTGAGTTGTAAGTTCCTTATACAAGTCCTTTATCAGATATATCACTTGCAAAATATTTCTCCCACTCTTGAGAGTTGCTCTTCACTGTACACTGATGGTGAACTTTGAAGCACAAAATTTTTAAATTTTGATGAAGCTCAGTTTATCTATTTTTCTCTCATTGCTTTTGCTGTTGGTGCCATATCTAAGAAACTATTACCTAATCCAAGGTCACAAAGATTTACTCCTACATTTTCTTCTAAGAGTTTCATGATTTAGGCTTTGACATTAGGTTTTCAATCCATTTTGAGATGACTTTTGTATGTGAGGTGAGATAGGGGTTCAACTTCATTCTTTTGCATGTGGGTATCTTAACTTGTTCCAATACAATTTAATGAAAAGACTATTCTTCCCCTACTGAGCTGTTTTGGCACCCTTGGTGAAAATCAACCATAAATTTCTTGACTTTTAATTCTATTTCATTGATCTATATGCCATAACACACTGTCTTGATTACTGCAGCTTTGTACTGGAAGGAATATTTTAATAGCCTTTTTAGAAAGCTGCAGGTATTCTCATTTGAAATGATACCAAAACTGGACAAGGGGTGGTTTCCTAAAGGGCAGCTGCACTGTAGAATCTGAAACTCTATAAACTTCTTGTACTCTGCTAGATCTTTCACTCATGCACCATTTTGTAATCTATGCATACAGCATTTGGAGAATATTGGTTGTTCTGCTAATCATCCAAATGCTGACACATTTCATTATACACTGTCAAAAGTAAGTGTTGTTAAATCAATCTGATTTTATTAGAAAATATTGGGCAGTTGTCACGCTACTGTGTTAAGAGGTAAGTTTTCCAAAATTCTAACATTCTCTTGAAAGCTCAAATTTTAGCAGTAACAAGTACTGTCAGTCTTCTGCCAAATACTCAAGTCTCAATAACACTGGTTTGTTTGCCAGTCATTCTTTCACGTAAACATTTTCTATGAAGAAAGTGACTAGTTCAGTTTGCAACTCACACAACTGCATAAGTGCCTTTCCTTGAAACAATTATCACACTTCATTAAGTAGCAAAAGTGCTTTAAGCATATTTCTCATTTTGTTCTGCAGAATATTAAAGACATGTTTCAAGGATCATAATTAAAAATTAATGTATACTTCATCAAAGACATTTTAAATGAAACAGACTTTTTTAAACTGTAGTATGAAGGTGATGACTATAATGAACACTAGATTGTTTGGTGCTACTGCCCTGATTCATGCTAAAGTACCAGCAGCTTTGCCCATCAATAATTTTGCTCCATCAATAAAACTTTAACACAGTGAAAAAGGCAAATAATAACTTAGAATTATGAAAAGTTTTGAACCTGCAGTCCCCTGAAAGTGTCCTGGGGACCCTCAGGGTCTGTGTCCACTGACTTAATTTACATACCTAGGCAATGACCATCAAAAAGACAACCAGACCTATGTTTCCCAGTGGAAGTAAACGTCACCACCAATGAAGCATTCCCATCAAAAAATCAACTTTGAATTTGACCAAGCCTCTACACCTAATAACCTGTTTACGGCATATACAGGAAACAGAAAACACCACCCAAGGGAAATAATCAGCAAAACCCTTTATGTGGGAAACTTCTTAGAACAAATATGCTGGATCTTCAAAAAGATAAACTGGGGGGAAAAGGTGGGAGGAGAAACCTTTTCATTAAGAGACTTTAAAAACAAATCAGCAACTGTAATGTATGAATCTTATCTGGTCCTGACTCAAGCAAATTATGAAAAAAAAATTTTTGAGAATGACTACATTATTTGATGATATTAAGTAATTTAATTTTTTAGGTATGAAGATATTACAGTTCTTGTATTATAAAATCATATACTAAAACATTTATAATTAAAAAGTCAAGTTCCATAATGCAGGACTGCATAGAAATTCCAAGGAAAAAACAAGAGAGCTAAATCCATGGAGTGGGATAGTGCATGAAAGAAAGTATCCTACTGAAAGGTGCTGCTTACTGTGAGCCAGAATATATAGTTTTTCTGAAGAATAACCAAACCCTCTCCCCACCCCTCTCTTCCCCACCATGCCCCCTAAGGTGGAATCAATCAAGGATCCCAGGAATAAACTCTGCTTCGAGGAATTTTCAAAGGGTCTACAAGAAGGAAAACATATTTCAAAGAGGATCAAAACCTTACCTTGGGATTTTTCCTAAGAAAAGCTCACAGATCATCTAATACTGGAAATGTTCTGTGGTACTTCTTCAACACGTACTTATTGAGTACCTATATTCTATGCTACAAACTCCAGCAAGGCACTAAGGGGAATACAAAAATAAGACAGTTCTTAGTTAATAATATAGACAATCTAGTTTTCAGAGAGACACACAGTGGTTGATCAGTTTTACTCTAATACATAATTACTGAGTATTTAAGTGCTAACTGTGACAGATCCAAGGATCTGGGTTGCTCAAATACAGATGCCTTGTGTAAAACGTAGCTAGGTAACAATCAGAACAGACATGGTAAACAAGGAGGATCATGAAAACCACCGTCCACAGATGCATCCCTTCTTGCAAATAATTATTTGATCTCTCTTGTAAGTGATACACAGCTATTTATTGGGTACCCTTACCTTGATTGTCTATTCACACATGATGGAATCATTTTGATTCATCTTCCTCAAGAGAACGTTTGATATTGTGGAAAAATATTTAAAAACTCATAATTATTTTTATGGAATGCCCTATTACAAAGCATGTGGTATACAAGGTGGTGGGTGCTGCAGCAATGAAAAATTCTAAGGGTCCATTCCTGTGAGATGCACAGCCTAAAGACAGATAGTAACTATGAAAGCAACAGAGTTCAACTTAAAGATGGAAAAGGAATGTAATTTTATATTTTTCTTTACATTTAAAATCATTTCCGAATGTTCCAACACAATCAACATGCATTACTTTTAAAATAACAGTGGCTCACATATACTTCCAGACTAACGAAAGCATACTATTACAGAACATCTGCAGATGTTTTATGAAGTAATCTGATAGAGGTGGAGTTCTGTTCTTAGTAGGATGAGACTGAGAAGTAATGTTAAAACAATTAAGCAAATGACACTTTCAGACCATGGAGTAATAATGATGAACTTGAGTAATCTATAGAAAGACAATACTTCCTTGGAATGAGAAATGTGGTTTTCAGGTAAACTGTTACTTTCTAGAATTGACTGAAAAAGTTAATGGAGTAGATTTGATTCAGGAAAGTGACCAGAAACTGGTACAGAAACCATTAGTGGTCATTATGCTTGAAAGGCAACATAGCAACACCACGCCTTGTGGCCTCTCTGGCTCTCTCTTGCCTTCTAGTGGCCCGTACTCTGTCTATGGAGTGTGTATCTACTTTTACTCTAACCGCCCTCCCCCCACAACCTCTTGGCCTTTCTCTGGCCTTCTGAGATGGCCTCCACTCTGTCTATGGAGTGTACACCTCTCTAAATAAATCTACTTTTACAAAGAAAAGAAAAGAAAAAAAAGAAAAGAAAAGAAAAGAAAAGAAAAGAAAAGGGAAGGGAAAAGAAGAGAAGAGAAGAGGAGAGGAGAGAAGAGAAAAGAGAAGAGAAAAGAGAAGAGAAGAGAAAGGAAAAGAAGAGAAGGGAAGGGAAGGGAAGGAGAAGAGAAGAAAAGAAAAGAAAAGAAAAGCAAGGCAATATAGTATGAGGCTTTAGAGATAAAAGCCTGTCTGCCTGGGTTTAAATCCCAGCACTGTTACCTACTTAGTGTAAGAATCTGAGTAAAGTAACTACCTAATGCCTTGGTCTTCTAATCAGCATTAGTAGGATAAAAATAACAGCCATTTCATAACCATAACAACAACACCACCACCACCACCTATTTCATAAGACTGTTATAAAGATTAAATGGGTTAATATAGGTAAAGTACTTAGAATAATACACGGCACATTATTTAGTACTAAATAAATGTTCAACTACTATTATTACCTTGTGAAAATAATCAACAAAAAAATTAAATATCAATAGATAACCCATATCCCCGTTTTCTGATAACAAGAAACAGTCAAAAAACAAAGACACAGTAGGAGACCAAGATCACTTTAAACATTGTATAGAATACGTGATCAAAATGCATAGGTGTACAAATGGTTCATTAAAAAAATTCTGAAAAAAATTAACAATGGAAATATCAGATAATTTTCAGAATGATTAAACTCACTAAAACATGTGTAAACAAGAATAAATTTATTTAATTTCTTTTAAAGATTTAATGATATACAAAATGTATATAGTATAATATCTTTAATATACTTTTTTCTCCCCCATCAATATTAAACACTATTTGAACAGCTTATCTCTTTTTATCTTGTCTGTATCTATGAGATACACTACTGAATACAAATAAGATTTCCACTGCTCCCTCTCAAATAAAAATTAAAATTAGTACCTAAGAAAAAACAAAAAGAAAGAAAAAAGGAAGAAAATCAAAGCATAAAACTTCAGTCACATAAAAAGCTTTTCTTGTTGTTGAATATTCAACAATATCTGGGGCAGTTAAATTACATTTTATTGGCATAAAGTTGCATTGCAATCTCCCGACATCACATAATGATAATCCAATTCAATTTCTTAAGTACCACAGACAATATTCATGTTCAAATGTCCTTACACAATTTTAAATATATGCAAGAATTCATGTTTACATTCTGATTTGATATACTGGTCAATAAAATCTTTGGAGAAGTACGTAACTTCCAAGTTGTCACTACAGATATAGATAGGAAAAAAAGCACTTTAACTTTCCTCACAAGGTAACTTCTCTTGAACAGTGAGTTAAGTTTCTCCTTTGATATATTTAGGTTATACCAGTCTACCATGGCTTTCTTCTATTTAACAATGACTTGATAAAATAATGTTTAAAAAAATACTAATAATTCTGCACAACTGGGGCTCTATTTAACAAAAACTGGCTCTATCCTTTAAATAGGCGCCTAATCCTGATTCATAAAGTCCCTCTTAGAAAATGGTTTTCAGCTTGGGCTCCCTATATCCCTGTAGATCTAGAATTATTACAAGCCATCTCCTTTCCCATGGCCAACAAGCATCTAGCTGGGAACTAGTGACATCATCAATAAACACACTAAAACACACTGAGGAAGACGTCTGACTGCCATTTAACCAAAAGACTGGGTGATTTCTTCATTTTGCTAGCTGAATGGCAGTAAACCAGCTGCCAATAAAATCTGACAGACACCTAACTTTGGTTAATGGTATTGCACCACACGAGAGAGTATTACCCTCAACAGAACAAAGTCAAATGAAATCCTCTGTTAAAAAGAGCCCTTTAAAAGATATAAATACTATTTTTTTCTTTACTTGTAAAATTTAACAGCTGCCAGCTGTATCCTATAGGGAGTTCCTGACTGACTTTAATCAGGTCAAAAGAGTATTGACCTTTTAACTGTGCCAGATCCAGCATACTGAATTAGCACACACTTTTCTGTATTACCAAATAATTTTCTCCTAAAGGAAAAGTGACACAGTAACATTTTTGTGAGGTGCAAGCAAAACCAGTGATTCAGTAATATTATAACATCAGACGAATAGAATTAGTTGATTCTGATTCTTTGGTGGAATTTCCAGGCTGAAGAGTCAAATCTGAAGGCTCATCCTGAGGAAATATAATTTTATCAGGTGTATAGTCATTCCTCTTCAGATCTATATTCACCACCCCCAACAAAAAAGAAAGAAAGAGTCAGTATTTCTTAGAAATAGAAAATTAAGAATATTTTCTAAATCAATTTTCTTCTAAACATGCCAGATCTATTTTCTACCATGTTGTTATAAATTCAAAAGTCACAAAATTTATACACGTAAAATGAAACCATTCAACAAATAATTATTATGCTCTGATCATGAGTCGCTAAGTTACGTAAGTGTAGAAACATAGCAATGAACAAGGCAGATAAGGCTCCTGTTCTCATACAGCTTATATTCTTGTGGATGAAAAAATATATATATATAAAAATGACAGAATTATAATTAGTAACAAGTACTTTGAGGAAAACTGTGATGAGGGTCAGAAGGGAGATGGTATAAAGTGATTCTTTTAGATAGGGCTGGGCAGAAAAGCCACAAGAGGTAACATATGAATAAAGACCTAAATATTGACAAATGACCTATCAAAGTCCTAGGAGTACTCTAGTCAGAGAGAAAGTTAACTACAGACTGTAAAAAGGAGATGGACTTGGTGTGTTCCAAGAATGGCAAGCAGATAGTTTGGCTTGCATGTAGTGAACGAGGGAAAGACTAGGGGGAAATGAGGTTAAGCAGTAGTAAATGGTTGAGGGCTGTCAAACTACAGGCTGCGGGCCAAATCTGGCCTGCTGCCTGCTTTTGTAAAAATAGTTTTATTGGAGTGCAGCTATAGAACTGTCTATGGCTGTTTCTGGACTACAA